AAGCTAGTTTCCTGACTGTCTCTGGCTTCACTGCTTTGATTTTCTGACAAATGCACAGATTACAATGAAGTCAGACCTCCTAATCCTCAGTAAAAGTGGCCTCTATATTCTCTTAGTGTGCTAGATAAAGTAGATGAAGCTTTAATTTGGCTTCTCTAACCTAGGGATTTTCAGCACATCACAACCCTTTTTTCTGCTCTGCCCTTCTAAACGCCAACATTCCAGTATGTCAGTGTAATGGTGGCTTTTTGATATGGTCAGGTGTATAATTGTAGACTTCACAAGTGCTTATTTTCCTCACATGCATTTAATGTAGAACAGACTGTTTGATGTTCCAGCTGTTCGGATTGACTCATCCTTCTAAATATTTGAGTACCAAGTGTGAAAAGACATAATTATTATTATCCTTCATGTTTGCATGCCATTGTTCTGTCTTTTGAACCCTCTCCATTTATTCTCACTGTTCTAGCTGTAGTTTACAGAAGAATACAGCGGATCATATTTTTTCCTATTGAAAACATATGCCTGTGAAGCATTTAGGTCCATGTTCCCTCACTGAGAATGTGTTTACCTTTTTACCCTCCAGAGCTTACATTTTGTCTTTTGACATTGAGTCAATTTAAAGCATTATTTTTTTTTATTTATTTATTTTTTTAAAATAAAAATGTAAACCCCCTTTCACTTGTTGTCCAGTGTCAAACTGTGCAATAAAGTGCTTTGCTTTTTGTGGCTTTCTGATGCCTGAGCTGTGTCACATTGTGAGCTCACCAGCAGTCAAGGTTTTTTCACAGCAAAGAGAATACACTTTATACTTTTGTTGCTGAAAATAATAATAAAAAACCTTTTAAATTGTAATTCTGTGTTTCTGATGAATTTGCTGTAGTTAGGGCAGGGAAAAAATAATAAACATTGCAAGTAATATGGATTTCCTCCAATTATTGTTTTTCATATTTCAACCTAATTGGTTCAAGTACCATTACAGTACAAAAGTATCTGTGGTGCTCATGGCGCCGTGCAAACACTAGCAGTAAATACAAGGATTTCACCGACACACTTGGAAATCCAAATATCAATATTACATATATTTATTCAGATTTCACATAATGTCATATGGTGCTAAGGTTTTAGGTCCTCACAGGGATCCTTCATCATCCCTCGTCACTGTGTCGCTCTGATGAAGGATCCCTGTGAGGACCCAGAAACCTTGGCACCATATGACATTGTGACATCCTTCACTGAATAAATATATCAATGTAATATTGATATTTGAATTTCCAAGTGTGTGCTGGTGAAATCCTTGTATTTACTTCTATTTCAACCTGGGAACTGTAGAAACAGTTTGTTTACAGCCAAGTAAAGACTGCTTCCATAGATTGTGTCCCCATGAAAGCAAGCATAACAGACACACAAAAAAGTATTTAAAATTAGGTTTTCCTGGTAGGTGCAAAATTACTTAAAGCTGTACCTCGGACTGCTCTTCTTACCCCAACCCTGCCTCATAACTAATAGCTGACATATACAATTTAAAAAACAAAAGAAATCTAAATGCGAAATTTACTGTCCCAAATGTATGGCTTATGGTTTTCTTCCATGAACAGGGGGCATCCCTTTTCAGGTTTCCCGCAGGTGCCTTCAGGTGATGAGCTCACAATTGGGGATTGACCTATGTAGGCACCACTGCAATGCTGGATTACCAGTCCCCCGCACCGGGTAATGGTGTTGGGGGACCTGGACAGCAGACTTAGATGAGTATATAATGTTTCTGAATGCTAAAATTGAAATGCTGAATGGGTTATAGGGTGCAGTGGGAAGTTGTAGGAGGGGATTATGTTTTGCCCAGAAATAGTCTGTAATGTGTATTACCACTTTTGCAGTCAAATTTGAGAAAACACCTCTATGTTTTTGTGCTTTTTATTCACACAGCCTACCTAAAAATAAAACTATAAGAAAAAAAACTTTTTGGTGAAGGCCTTTGTGCAGATTCCAGGCTACTCTGCAGTTTGAAAGTAGATGGATAAACTGAGGGACAGACTGAGTTTCCTCTCATTAACATACAATGCTTCTAAGTCTTAAACCCTTTGTTAGGACAGTGTTCACATCTAGGTTACAACTGATAATCTACAAGCACAGAACAGACATGGTTAATTCAAGTAAACATAACTTCCCACAGCCCTCTCCTTTACGAAGTAGCAATCTTTATGTATTTTTGTTTATATGAGAGAGATAGATGTCTGTCTGCCAAAGTGGAAATACACTTTAAAGAATATGTATAGCTACCAACTTTTTAGATAAAGTAGCCTAGAGTTTTTGTTGTCTGTGTTCCTTGGGGACGATTTCCTTCACTGGAACAGGTATCTCCTTTGGAAGATGTACACTTCAGTGATCGTTGTAAATTATGGATTTTCCCTTAGGCTGGGTTCACTCCTGGGCGTTTTTCAGCGCTGTTCAAATCGCTGAAAAACGCTCAGCAAGTGAAATCCCATTATTTCCTATGGGCATGGTTCCCACCTGGCATATTTCCGCGCGTATCCATTAGGATACAGCCGGATAGCTCTCATAAACGTGCGTTTCGTAGACCACAAATCGCTGTAAAAACGTGCGGCCCATAACGTGCGTCATACGCGCATATTTCGAACGGCCAGGACAAATAGGGTGAACTCACCTAGCAGGAACATATACGGCAGGGGTAGCCTAATTCCAGCTCTCCAGGTGTGGTGAAATGACAAATCCCATCGTGCATCTGCCTTTAGAGTCATGCCTGTGGCTGTCAGTGTTGCAATGCCTTATGGGACTTGTAGTTCCACAGCAGCTGGAGGACTGAAGTTTGGCTACCCCTGATATATATAATGGGGGGCAGACAGAGCATCTAACCCTACTCTATCCACACCTAAAAAAAGTTTTAAATATACATCGATTTGGGTCTCTTATACAGAATCAATGGAATCTGTGGTTGTGTTTTTAGTGAGTGAACTTTGACCTGTTATTGTAAAGAGCCATACAAAATCAATTCTAAGGTGAGACTTTCACGTTGCTTGCTGGTCAAATAGATTTGTCACATTAATAAGTTTACAGCACGTTTAGCTTTAAGGTGCCTGTGAATGATCTTCCCATTAACGGTAACAATCTCATTTGTTTCCCTTGACAAAATACATGTGTAACATCACCTGATAGTATCATACGAATGCTCCCAGCTACAGGAAATAAAGCGGCATATTTTATGTGATCATTCAACAGGCATGTGACACGATTGTCCGGTGGAAAATGGGAGACTTATTCCAGCTATAAATGGTGCATTTTTGATTGTTCAGCCAGAATAAACCTATTGTATAGATAAAATCTACCCAAGTTGACCTTTAGGACCATAAGTGACTTATTTGGATCTTTGTAAAGGTGCGATGAACAATTATTGAAAATCTAAATGGTATACAATGTTTCGGAGGGTTAATGGAAAAAAATGACAATCTTTTTTTTTTTTTTTTTCTATTGCTTGTGATCTATTTTTGTTAGCTGTAGTCTAATGTCTGACATTTTAGCAGCAAACCTCTTCAATGACTTGTTTCATAAATGCATGGTGGATATCTTATCAGCTGTTTAACAGATCAGAGAGACTGGTGTCCTAACAATTTTCCACCTTTCTTTCAGGTCTTATCTTACCACATTCCTTTCCTTGTAAGTTCTGTTGAAGACTTCAAGGATCACATTCCAAGAGAGACTGACATGAAGGTAAGAGTCTGTGCCATGTAGGAAAGGTAACGCCTATACAAAGGAGACCTTATCTTCAAACTGTAAAAATGTGTCCAGATACACTACACCTGCCTTGAGAAATATGGGCTACCATTGCTGACCTCCTTACTAAAGTAAAATATCAGAATTCTATTTTATTCTTTTTTGATCAGTGACTTGGAAAGTATTCAAGCAAAAGCTTCGCCATGATAGCCAGGCAGCAAGCACTTTTCACATTGGTCAGCAGTGACGGGCTACATGTTTCCTAAAAGCGGAAACCGATACTAAACAGATACTGTCTGTTTTTTGGGGGTTTTTTTTCCAGATCTGTGCAGTCATTCAGCATGAAACCTCCTGCAATAGTCGTTCTGCAGGGGTTTTCTGCAATAAAGACCAGTCTCTTCTGCTCTCTCCTTGTGCAGGGCGACTGGTCTGGTATACACCCCCTGTAGTTTTCTGCAGGCAGCCTGTAGTGGGTGGGCCTTATGGGTCCCCCTCACAGCTTTACACAGGCTTGGCAGAATCTACTGATCATGTCACTGCTAGTTTTGCAAGGTAATATATAGATATGCAAAGACATCTGGTGCACATACAGTAGATTTATATTTTTTGTGTTTGAGCATTAGGCAAATGAAAGTTGTTGTGCCCAGAGTTTAGCTATGCCAAGGATATGTCTTCATTTATGTGTGGTACATATGCAACATGGTAGCCTACCAATGCAGTGATTTAGCAAGCAGTAGTTCTTCACATGAGGACACCTTTAGGACTACCCATTGCCCAATTGTCACAGGCACTGCTCAATGCGAAAGAGTCCCACATATGGCTGTTATGCCTAAAAGGCCACTGGAAAATGCACCACAAGTGTAAAAAAGTGAGTGATATTAACCAAGCTGTATTGTAACTACACCAGTGCATAGTACACTTTCTTATAGGATTTTGGTATTTAAAGTTTAAGCTGGAAGGGTAATAATATCATTTCAGTTGTGTTTTCTCTCTGTCATGAATAAAGTTTCCAGCACAAACTAGTTGTTTACTTGTCCTAGTGAAATGAACAGGGTGAGCCTGTTTTTATTCAAATTATTCAATTTTTAGAGGTTCTTATAATTCTTATTATACTTGCTAAGAACAAGGAAGTGAACTGAACTCTCTTCCAAAGCATAACTGACTTTATGGATCATATCCACCCAGTCATCACTTAGTGACAGCGACTTACTTTGAACATCCCCGTAACGGGGGAGTGGGGGGGGGGGCATAAAAATCAGTTATTGCTGACAAGGGCATGACAAGCCAGTGTTTATACTGGCTTGTCAATCATATCAAGCAGTCATAGTGAATGGATGTCACTATGACTGCTTGATCATTTAAATAAATTTTTGGTTATTAGGCTACCCTAAACTCAGGGACAGCCAATAATAACTTTAGTGACCCTAATCCGGACATGCACTGCAGCATGTCAGGGTCAGATGTCACTAAAGACTTCTCATCGTTGTGGCTGGTTGACACAACGATTGGAAGCCTGAAACGGGCAGCTTTTGGCTTTTGCTGAATGCTTCTATGCTGAAGTATTCAGCAAAATGCCAGTGCACATCGGGATTTGCCACTTCCGAGCTGTACGTCTGCCTAACAGTGAATGGAAGTGCGGTTCAGCGATCGGGTGTCTGAAACGGCTTGGATCTTTCATTAATGGATGCCTCCCTATGGAGACATCCATTAATGATCGCTATCCGTTGATCTCAACGGTTACCAGCATTCCGGAGTTACCAGCATTCTGTACGTCCACAGTCATTTGGGCACTTAGTGACAGGGGATGTACAGTGTACTTCTGCCATCGCTAAGGGGTTAACTAAGTTTAATCTAAATCTACTCCATGTTGTATTTCATACAGAAAAACCCTAATCTGGCATTGCATATTTGTTTAGAGCCGCGTTATAACATCTGGCAAACAAAATATCTTTGCACAGTTGCAAACAGACAGCAGATTTATTTTATTTTCTTGCATGCTCTGGATGATTTATAAGTGAATTCTGGTTACTGTGGGCAACACAGTTGTTTTTGAATTCTGCCTCTAATTTTGCGGAGATGCTTTAAAGAAAGGCCATCGTAGCTGCAAAGTTAGAGATGGGCGGCCAGGTAGAATACTTGTGTATTATTTCTGTTTTTTTTTTTTTAAAGGTTGCGATGAATGTGTACGAGTTGTCATCTGCAGCCGGTTTGCCCTGTGAAATTGATCCAGCCTTAGTCGTGGCATTATCATCCCAAAAATCTGGTATGTTTTTTTATATTTTTGGGGGTTTTACTGTATTATTTTGCTCCACATGTATAAAATGTACTGTTTTAAATAATAATCTGAGACTATGTGCATTAGTGTTATAAGCTTACTGTCATGAAGGCAAAAACGAAATTTAGCGCTTTTATAAAGTTCGAAAATCACAGACTGAACTGTCTCCCCCGAGGATGTGAGGACTGGTGGCTTCTGGGGAAAGGTCATCTATCCTTGAAGCGGCAGGGAAGAAGCCTGCAGGAGCGAGGAATAAGGGAAGTATCCCTCTGCTTTACACCCCCCACTTCCCAAACTGAAGCAGTAGACCCCTGACTTTCTGACTTTCAGCTTTAGACAAGTCACCATGTATATAAAACAAATATTGATATGCATTTTAGTTATTTAAAACCGCAATTAATTGTTTGAAACAGGTTTCTGTGTTTATAGTGAACTAGTAATTAATGTGCCCTTCTCCAGGGGTACGTATGGTAAAATATGGGCAATTCACACATAATGAAAAGTGTATGGGTAGAGGTTCAGTGAAGGCTACATGCCAAAGCAATTATTGGATGCACATACATAAAGCAACTCCATTATTAAGCTAAAAGAGCTATTTATTTATAGATCAGTGGGGGAGAAATCCTACATTTTGCAGACCTGTCACATGAAGTAACTGCACCAAACCTAAAAATTAAATCACTGGGTATCTACCATTAAATGAACACAGAGCCTCATAGAGGGGAATTTATGAAAACTGTAGCAGATAGAATCTGGAGCAGTTCCCCAAGGCAACCAGTCGGCTTCTGTTTTTTCAGTTTTAATGCTTAACTGAGCAGACTGAAGAGAGGAGTGGATTGGTTGCCATGGCAACTGCTCTAGATTCTGTCTGCTCCAGTTTTTATATATTTCCGCCATTTATGTTTATAAATGATGCATTTCATACAAACGATATCCTAAGAAGCAGCAGTCACTTTTAAACTCCCATCAACCAGCATAACCATATTTACACCAAACCACACGCATGTTTTCACACAAGTCACACCTCTTCAGTGACGGAGGTATGCTTTTATGCTAATCCTCTTTCCCCTTTAAAATAATTTTGAAAGCACTTAATATGGTAATCAACATTAAACCCATCAGTGTCATATTTTCTATCAGTGATGAAAATATTTGTTTAAATGTATTACTTGCTCTGCAATGTCCTGAACTGTGTTTTTTTCTTGAGAAGATAGTTGGGTTTGAGGGTAGTTGTGTGGTTTGTTCCCTTTTATTAGTTTCCTTCCACGATTTGTGTATCTGGGTTAGGTTTTCTTGTAGTGGAACCACAAAGCTTTTGTAGGAAGCCACAGAGGAGTTTATTGCAAGTGTAGTTTTAAATCTGAGTGGCATAGACCTGCACTAATAGCATTGGCTGGGAAGACTGGTTGATGAATACAGCTGGACTTTTTATTAAGATGTAAAGCTGAACTTTGGGCACAAACACTTCTTTTTTTTAAATGCATTACTCAATAGCCGCAAAGGATATAAATCCACTTTGTGTGCACCGAACTCCTTTGCAAACCCAGTAGTCCTGACATTGACACTGCTATATGGTGCACAGCTGTGGGGGGGAGCTCGGCAGGCCCCACCCACTACAGGCCGTGTGCAGGAATCTATGGAAGGGGGGCACAGACGAGACCAGTCGCCCTGCACTTGGAGAGAGAGCAGCAGTGACTGTTTTTTGAAGTAACAATACACTTGACTCTCAGCATTAAGAAATGTTTTTTTCTTCTACTCGTTTCTTTGCTCATATGCACTTGACAATGGTTGGCCGCCAGCATCAGTTTATTTTCTAGAATTAATTTGTCAAACGTGTAGTGACATGTGCTTTGGGTATGTTTCTGTGCCCAGGTGCCACAGCTCATTGAGATCATGTTAACTTTTCTTTTATAGAACTAGATACATACAATAGAACAATTGGTGGTATTTCTAGATCTCTTGCAGTACAGTCAAGACTGGCCAGGGATTGGATCAGAAAATAGGTATCCCTTTGAAGGAGGGGACTGGCACAGGTTCTCCTGTCTGCTCTCTAGTATGGAGCTTTAATATTCCTAACTTGCGTAGTATAGCTAAAAACACTTTCTTTTACATTTCTACTTGCAGAAACAATCAGTCCAGAGGAAGAGTACAAAATTGCCTGCCTTCTCATGGTCTTTGTGGCCGTGTCTTTGCCAACCTTGGCTAGCAATGCGATGTCTCAGTACAGCCCTGCCATAGAAGGTATTGTATATTATTTGATAAACCAGAAGCATGCATTATTGTACATAGCAGCTGTATGTGTACTTACTGTTTTCCTTTTGCTTTAGGTCACTGCAACAATATTCACTGTCTGGCAAAGGCCATCAACCAGATTGCCGCAGCTTTATTTACCATTCACAAAGGAAGCATTGAGGATCGCCTTAAGGAATTCTTGGCTGTACGTATAACTTGTATTCCTGAATTTTCCACTTACGTGATTGAACAGTACTGACTGGCATTTTCAAGGCTTTGGATGTCTCTTTATATCCTTTTCCATCATTATAAAATGCCATTACCTTGTTACGCAGGTCTTTTGATAGTTATTTTCTGTTCCCCATGGCTCAGTATCTAGCCTGCACAGATGTGGGAAATTAACCTTTAATTGCCATTTTAACCTGCGTGTGTCATCTTGTGTGTATGTAACAAGGCCAAACATTCCAAATGGCCCTTTTGATCAGGGCCATTTGGGTGATTTCTATTATTATTTAAAAAGGTGCCAAACAACCATGTCATAATAAATGGCTTCATATGATCACTATTCTCAAACAAAAGACAGTTTCTTGGCTTGATCAGTCATATTTTCAATATCGATTCCAAAATTTCACGATTTCTGCAAGGGTATGCAAACTTTGGTTTCCTAGGTTCATTTATTAGAATGTGTGATGTAATCCTTTTAGATATAAGCTATGCCTCAGTTCCATTATGTTGTAGAGAGACATGATTTTGCTCCTGTGTAAAGCATATATACATCCGCACCTTAAATATGCAATCTAATTTTAAGCATTAGTTCAGAAAGATGTGGAACTAGAGAGTGAAACCTATTAAAGAGGAATGAAAGACCTCTTTATTAGCAAAGATTGACCCCATACCAAAATGCTTAAGGGCTTGTTCACACCATGTCCATATCATGTCCAGACCAGAACAGTTTGTTCCCAGATCAAAAAAGTATCCTTATGGTATTTCTGGGCTCTGTTTACACCAGCGAATTCCGTTCTGGTCCAGACCAAAAAATACTGTTTATCTCATTTTCTCTGGTCCGGAATGCATGTAAATGCATGTAAATGCACTGGACTGCACCGCACCTGAAAAGCCATTTTAAGCTAAAAACAAATGCACCAGAACGCGTCAAAAACGTGGCACAAATGCACTGCTTTTGCAGATCTGCTCCAGACCTGGTCCTGACATGGTGTGAACATAGCCTTGATGATTTTACCAGTAGGTCCAAGCGTGTTTGCAGCTATGCAGATACAGGCATTGGCAGAGTCTGAATCTGTATAGCCCTTTCAGAAAGTCTTTAGTCAACACGGTCAAAACCTGTAGCTGAAAGTAAAGGGTTCACAAGGGTTCACTTTAAAAAGTCTTGCTTGCTGCATGTCTGGTGCAGCTTCCAGCAAGAGTATATTGGAAGAATGGCAATGGGTATAAAGCGCAGCATATAGGCATTGAACATGCATTTGCAGTACCCTTGCTTTGGAAAGCACTTTAAAAAAACAACAACCTGTAAAATGCCTTCAGAAGCACAGTGGAGAATGCATATTAACCCCTTCGTGACGGGAGACGTACACTGCACGTCCCGCCACAAAGGGACCAAATGACTTGTCACGTACACTGTACGTGACGAGTTATTTGCTACACTAGAAGGCTGGTAACCGCTGAGAATCAGCGGTTATCATTCATTAATGGATGCCTCAGTATAGAGGCATCCATTAATGAAAGGGTTAACCTTTTTCAGACACCCGATACCTGAAGATCGGGTGTCAGAATCAAAGCAGAGCCGGCATGCCGGCTTTGCGACAGCTCGTATAGATCGAGAGATATCTCTCTCAAGCTATACTGGCTTTTTTTTTTCTTTCACTTTCAGGAATAGATACATGCTGTATCTATTCCTGAAAGAAGAATGTTTCAGTTTTCTGATGGTTGTTGTAACAATCAGAAAACTAGTGACAGCTGAATCCTGAACTGCTGCAGTGTCACTAACTTATTATCGGCTGTTCTGAAGTTTGAAGCAGCCTGATAATAACCAAAAATGTATTAATGTATCAAGCAGTAATAGTGAGATTAATTCACAATGACTGCTTGATATAATTAAATTAATAAAATAACATTTTTAAGTTTAAAAAAAATTTGTGAAAAGTGTAAAAAAAAAAAAGTGTTAAAAATAAGGGAAATCACACAGCAAAAATGTCAAAAGTGTGTCAGTCATTTACGAACAGAAACTAAAAAGCTCAGTCATGAAGGGGTTAAAGATAAATGTGCTATGGCTTGGTGGTGTTTAATGTTAATATAGTATAATGACTTGTCGGTGGGTTTCAGATAAAATGAACCTGTATGCATTTGTATGTGTATATTTTTACCTGTTCAGCTGCTTTGTGCACTTACGCTTCTGTCCACTGTGCTTTGTTCGCACAGCTTGCATCTTCCAGCCTCCTGAAAATTGGCCAAGAGACTGATAAAACGACAACAAGAAACAGAGAATCTGTTTATTTGCTGCTAGATATGGTAAGTTCTGCAAAGTTGTTTCTAAGAAAGACTTGGTTAGGTTTTAGATGAATAAATTCCCCCCCTTATCTTCCAGGACAGCTACATGATAGATTGGTTCCTCCTACTTCAGAAAACACAAGCAAGCACCTTAAATACTCCAACTCCCCCTCTAACTATCGGTTCTGTTTGGTTTTCCTACCTCCTAGGAATTCAGCAAAACATTTTTTTCATTTTAATTAACTGGATGGCTGGTGGGCCAGTGGTCACCCTGGTTGCGCAGGTCTGTGTTCTACTTCCCTTTACCAGGTTTCCCCTTCTGCCAGGTTCTTGTCCCCTTAGGTGTTGGGGATGATACCTGTGTGTACTTGCTACAACACTAACCTTCTCATCAGGCTAGTGTGAGCGTTTTAGAAAGGGGACGTGCTGCTAAATGCAGAGTTGAAGTGGAGGGAAAGTGCTGTTTTCGTGTTTGGATGTTTTGGGACAGCATGCACTGGTATATCCCCCCCTCCCCCCCCCTTCCTAGGTGCAGAGCGAGAGCACGTCGTGTCATTTGTTGTGCAGCAAGTGACACACTTCAGGAGGACACAGCCAAATGGTGTATTAACATATGGTTAGCATCCTCATCTGCTCTTCTCCTTATTATGGATTCAGACAGTGAGGAAGCAGACCAGACCTGAAAACTACCAACGGTTGGGGCACAGAAGTGACACCTTCTATGGGTGCCCCTGAGTTGTTTTCTCTTACCCAGTTTGCTGTCTTTTGGGGTCATGTTAACACAGGAGGAGGGGTTGTTTTGTGTTCACAACACAGTGGTTCTTGCCATTCCTTCTGTTGACCCCAAGTGTTTTGTTCAGACCTGTTCTGACTTGCACATTTTGGACAAGTCGGCTCCTTCGCCTGCGGTACCAGTGCCCAGCCTCCCTAAAAAGTGCAGAAACTGTGATGCTGGAATCTCGTCTTCTTATTCCAAACCATTTTGTGAATAATGTATTCAAATATTGGCGGTTGAATCAGCTTTAGTTTTGAGAGAATTTATGGATTCCTTGAGGTTGGAAATGATTTCCATCTTTCAGTCTTTCCTGTCAACATTGACTGTTTGCCATTCACCTCCAGTGTTGAAGCCTCAAGCTCCCAATCTTTCTTCCAACTAGCTGTAGCTATTTGGCCAATGCCCAGGGCAGAAGAAGTGGATGAAGAGGAATTTTCTAATAGTTAAGCAGAAGCTGAAGACTGTCACAAATCATTCATCAGTGAGTCAAAATTTAAGCCAGCCCATTTGTTCAACCCTTAGCACAGCTGTACTGTCTAGAATTCTTATCCTCCCCCTACAAAGTTTTTTTTTTCTTACCCACCCACCAAGAGACCATGTCAAAGCAGAAACATTCTTAAACTACATCCCAAAAAAATAGACAAGATTGTCTCCAAGGTTCAACAGATAAGAGTACATCCACTAGTAACACTCGGATAAGTCATGATGACCGCCTCTATTCCTGCAGCAACTTGGGTGGAGTTTCATTCCCGAACGCTACGAAGCTAGCTACTCTTAAAATGGCATCGCATCGCAGAAGCATTACAATCCTTATCTCTGCCCTAGGGCAAAATATCTGTTTGCCAGCCAACCTTGAAAACGGTATCAGCCAATAAGGATCACTATAGAAAATGGGGATAAAGGGACCTGCTTCTCTATGCAACAGGTTCAAGGAGTATGGAAAAGTGCAATGATAAAGGCTTCATCCACTTACTGCAAACTCACGGGTGCAGGAGATGCACTGTTAGCTTTACAACATCTGGTCAAGGGGCAGGATATCCTGGTATTGTCAATGATATCCCAGTTCAAGAGCACTCTGATTCTCTCAGCCCCTTGATGGCCCAGAAGAGCTTGGTTCGGCAGCTTACAGAATCTCTCTGGTGCCACCTTGGCCTCGCTCTTGAGTGCAATAGCCTACTGTCAGGGACAATGGGTGTTCAGAGTACTTAGTATTGACAATGGTTGTTCAGTACTTTAATACCTTTCTTAAAAGCTAAAAAATGACCATCAGAAACATTTAGATGAAGATCTGGAAAACCTTTTTCTTCATGGTGCAGCAAGAACAAGCATACTGCCCAAGATGTACTAGTACTCCATTGAGTGTTTACAGAATGGTTTCAACCTGGGCCTGTGTTTGAGGCCCCTCAAGGTGCAAATTTCAGCAGTTTCAGTATTTCTAGAAATCAGACTTGCAGAAAGCTTTGACCATTTCCTTTATGCAAGGGAAAGATGTACATTTATGGCAGCCAAAGTGGTGGCACCGCGTGGGAGCTTTCAAAGGTGTTGAATGGTTTGTCCCTCTACCCATTTGAACCTATTCAAGATTCCTCCAAGTTTTTGGCTTATGAAACAGCCTTCCTTTTGCCTATATCTTCTGCTAGAAGGTTGGAGACTTTGTCTAAAAGGGAGGTTTATTTGACCATGTTCTCTGACAGAATAATTATTAAACCAGACCTAATGTATTTCCCTAAAGTGGCCTCCAATTTCCATAGATCACAAGAGATTGTATTATCATTTTGTGATAACCCTAAGAACTCTAAAGAGGAGAAGTTCCAGTTTCTGGATGCATGCAGGTGTCTACTCTGTTGTCTGCTGACTGGGTCTCCTAAATTCCTTTCCATTTAGTACTCTTCAGTATCCACAAGAAAGTTCTTCAGGTGTCTAAAACTTCACTGACTAGATGTATTTTTTTTTTCCACTTCCCCGCGGGGTCACAACAAAAACAGATTGCATGAAACAGGAACAGAATGTATTTATAGAGTAGAGGTGCTATCTCAACAGGATGTGACCTTTGGCTGAAAACTTCTACAGTTCCACCCTTGAGGTATGCTTTTACTTTTCTTCTCACGTAGATGTCCTGGAAGATGATTGGGGACATTTCTGGTTAGACATATTGGTATTTCTAGGAATCTTCCAGGACTGCTACCTAGTTCCAACCCTAGGACATTTTTCTTTGGTTTGGTTTAAGATAGGGTTTTCTTTCCTCTATTCCCCTTGAATATTTAGTTTGGGGTATTCACCTTAAATACCCCACCCCTCGGTTCTCACTTTAAAGTGTTATCTTGTGGGGGCTTTTTAAGGAGGAGGAGCCAATCATCTCTTATGTAGATGTCCTAGGAGATTCCCAGAAATACTGTTACCAGGAAGTCTGACTGGATTTTTGTTTTTTACAGGGAACGTTTTCCAGCCACTAGTATCAAGGCTTAGTTTCTAAAAAGACAATATAATGCTTGTTGGTCAAATATTTTTTACATGGGTTTATACACATTTTTTATTATTATTACATTGTGTAATCTTTTTTTGGCGGGTTCGCCATCTTCTGGAGACATTTTTTTTTTCCAGGATGCAAACGAAGAGTTAATAAAAACAATATAACTGGAATACTCCACTCAGTGAAAAGAAGTTAATTCACCCAACTTGTACAAGCATAGCTGTAAATTAGTGATTGTCCAAATGCCCTTATAACTTTTTTTGTATAATGCGTTGATGTAATAACCACATTTGTTTATCCTCTTACAGATTGTACAAGAGTCACCATTTCTGACCATGGACTTGCTGGAATCTTGTTTCCCATATGTCTTACTGAGAAACGCTTACCACGCAGTTTACAAACAGAGTGTAACATCCTCTGCATAAACATTTACTTCCTGAAAACACGGCACAAGCTTGCTCAGCCTGCAAACTGTGGAGTCCTTTTCCTGATTGATCGGGAGCCGAAAATGGTTTTGTGACTTAAATTCTTCCCCCATTCCATTGTACAAGTATTTTTGACAAGTGGTTTCTTTTTTTTGCATTTGTACTACCAGATATGCTTGGTTGGTTGCACTACACTACAGGAAAAAAAAATAAAAAAAAGTTTCTGAACATTTTCATCCAGAGAATAAAGAAAATAGAGGGGACAAACTGAAATAAAACACTTATTATTTCTTTAGTTTTTTTTTTTATAACTCCTCATGCAGAAATATTATTGCTTGTTTATTATTTCAAAGAATTGTATTTAGTGATTATTTTAGATGGTGGTATAGGTGACGTGTGTAAATTATTTCATATAGGAGAGTTATAATCTGTACCTTTTTATGTTCTTATCTATAACGGTTTGGTTAGGTGATTCTGTGATTTTCTGTGAAGTAATTGCACCATTTACATCTGTTATCCACCCCCCCCCCATGACATTCTGCAGTCAGTTCTAGAACAGATCAGAAAATTGTAAAAATTATCATCTCTCCGCACTCTGTGACTACTTATTTACAGTACAGAATTCCTTCCTGGTATTTTAAGCAGCAGATGTTTGTAAAAAGCATAGTTTTTTTTCTTCAACTAACTTCCATAATGCTCTTTTGGCATTAACATTACCATTGTAATCTGCTATATGGTATATGACATTCTCATGCATTTATCAAATGTTCATACATTGTTTTTTTTTTTCCCCTTAACCACTTTTATATGTTTTAACTTTTTGAAATTCAAGTGTACCTTCCATAAAGTACAATAAACACTAGACTGTATCAAAACAAGGTTCACAGTGCTTTAATTGAAACGTTATGATGGTAAAGTGGAACTCCAGGATTCACACCCTTTTCATGTTCCTGACCGGAAGACATCTAAAAAAGGCAAAATAAAGAAACAGGATGCTGGAGGATAACCCCGCAGTTGCAAGTGTCTCTTAAGGCAATTTTCCCAATAATACAGCACAGGGTGCTGGGTGACATGCTACCTTAGGTGATTGGAATCTGGTGGGAAAAAAGTTGCAGGGACCAGCCCCTACATAATCCTTCACTCCCCCTGCAAGCTTCAGTTTTTTGCTAGGTTTCTTAGAAGATGGACATCTTCTCTCACTCTGTGGCTAACCCATCTTCATACCTTTTACGAATAGGAATTTTCTTAGGCCATGTCAAATCTCATGGGTAGGATTGCCACCCTTTTAGAAGAGGTGGGACTGAGGGGGTCGCAAGCACGCCCCTTCAACCTGCGCTCCATAGTAAGTATCTAACTTCCCCCTACCCTGATTGAGGAGAAAAAGGGAAGCAGTTTTTTTTTTCTCAACAAGTTGCTCTTTAAGGATACCATGCCTTACACTACTCCATGGATGGGAAAGCAGACATGCTTCACCAGATTTACAGGATGAGTCTCCTTTCTGTTTATGTGCTCGTGTTGGTTGGCGGAACCCCCATGCAAGAAGCATCTTGCGAGAAAATCCATGGAGTCCCTCATCCCTCCCTGGGATGGCTCCAGGGAGGGATGGCTCCAGGGAGGGATGCCCGGTATTTTTCAAATTAGCGGTCATCAGCGGCTTGTGAGCCGCTGATGACAGCTATTAATTTAAAGGGGACAGTCTGCTGAACAGTAGTACAATAGTAGAACTGTAAATGCCAGGTCCGTACGACGTACTGAGCTGGCCAGCTGGAAGCACTTTTGTAGCTCCGTACGACGTACGTCCTTGGCAGCGAAAGGGTTAAGGGGACACGCACATGTCATTTACTTGAGGAAGGGGATCCTACGTGACCCCGAAACGGTCGTCGCATTTATGTGACATGATGCATTTTTGCAATAAATAAGACTTTATTTCATGCTGATATTGGAGTGCCGGTGTCCATGTTTTCTGCTGATGTATGACGGTTGCCATCCGTTGATCACCGAAGCACCCATTTTATTCTCTTGGAGATAAGCGGACAGGAGTGCGATGGGTTCATGGATCCACACATAAACACACACACACACACACACACACACACACACACACACACACACACACACTTCCTTATATATGCACATCAAGCAAATCACAGGTGGTAAGAGGAAGCTAAGAGAAGTTCCTTTCATCCCTTTCAGGCCACACTGATTTCACTGAAAGACTTGTTCCACAAAACTTCCAAATGTGGGATCAATGAGGAGGCACTCCTACTTGCAAAAGTGGGAGACGAATTACATCATTTGTAGCAATCTGGTACTGAGAAATTCTGTATTTCTGGGTCCAGAATTTTCAACCTGTTGCCTTTTGGAATCGCAATAGTGATGAGACTGAATTCAAACTCTAATTCACTCTAATTACCTCTTCTGTATAGTTTCTCTTCTGATTTGTATTACAATTCCTGTTACCTGAATAGCAGCTATATGTTATGTGTTTACACTAACCACCCAGGAGGCATTGTTGCCCCTAAAGTCCCCCTTACCCCCCCACGCTGAGCTAGTAAGACCGACAAATTATTTCTCAGGCTAACAGACATTGATGGTCCTTGATGCTTACTGAAGATCTCGGCACTGCAAGCTGTAAGTGGCAGAATTTTAGGAGATGAGTTATTGCAAGCTTGGAAGCGGTCAGTAATCAGTCATGTGATACAGTAATTGCTTTGTAGCATCAGGCAAAACCTTGAGAGCCTCAGAAGTGTAGTATCATGGGGCATAATACAATAAATCTGTTTTCAAATACAGAACTGTCAGATTACCTCATCTTGCAGAACCCCCTTCTCATTTAAAAAAATTACAGCAGTTAACAGCAAAGGATGCTTGTGATATTTCCAGAGCAGGTAGGAGGTAGCAGCAATATTTGCTAATATTAGACCAATGTGCAGAGGGATTTTTTTAATACAAAGTTGAAGCTTCTGTTTTATTTACTTTATATTATATTGTGTTCCTGGGTGAATTTTATGTAAACCTTAAGCAGTTTTTCTTTTTTTTCTTCAATGATAGAAGAAACCAGTTCTATGTATCTTCCTTTTATAATAGCTTCTTGTGTTCAAGAATAAGCAGGGAAAGAGTCTGTGGGGTGAGATGGAAGTAATAAAAGGTTACAAATTGCTTTGATTTAGCCCTTTTGTCTAATACATCAAATTATGAGTCTGGATCAGTGCAAGAGGAGACTTGAGCAGCTGATTAAAATAAAGATTGGGGCAGTATGGATGTTTGAAAGAAGCCGAGAATATCAAAGCTGTAATTCTAGGTTGTAAGAAAGTGTCATCTGTATTTTCAGAATAGGTAAATCTAGACATAGCTGCATTTTTCAGTAAAGAAACCAACCAAGCAGATTACTAGAATCTAACAATTTAAAATAAAATGTCATTGGCTGCTATGGCTTACTACATTTTAACATTACCTTTGCACTGTATACTTTTTGAGTAATCCTGCAAGTCATTTTTGCACCTTCAGTGGTGTTTTTTTACTGATTGTACAGTACAGGACGCATGTGTACTTTACAATCGGGAAAAAAAACACCACTGAAGGTGCAAAAATGACAACACATGCGTCTTCAATTTGGTTATATGCAGCTACTTAAAGGTGACTTAGCTACTTAGTCTGTTTTTTCTGCTAGTGCCCTTAGGGTGATGGACCTCTTCTCTACTGAGAGAAGCTTACATTTTTCCATTGGGGTTTTTTTTTTTCCCCCTGGATGCTGTCTATCAAGCTGATTCTTCTATCAAGATCACTCACTGTAGCTCTTTATGCAGGTTTCAGATTGGTTGACTCCTCAGTAGAGTTACAGGGGGAACCTACTCAGACCCTGCTGGGTGAGTGGATGTGGGACCAGCTTGTAATGTTGCTGGTGCACTGGATCCTTTGTGGGCACTCACCTTGGAACATAGTGCAACTTGTGGAATTATTTGAAAGGTGCTCTACAGGTCAACGGCCATGGTCTGTTTGGTGCAGAGCCCTGTATCCGAACACCCCTGTGGGGGTATGTCCATTGTGAAGGGAGACCACCGGAAGGGGATAATTCCTGCATCTGAGTGGCAAGTAAATGTAGAAGCTCCCTAAACATTTAGCCTTAGTGTGCTCTTTCTAAACAAACTCTTTGGGATGTGGGAATACGCTTGACCACTCAACTCCCAAAAATGTATAACTCGGCGCCAACAATTAGGTGCACCCATGGCATGCATCCGTACTGGTACACCAGGCCCGTTTCTTCTGCCCATGTGTGGGCCAGGTTGCAGCAACATCTCCTGGTCTCCTCTTGGCCGCACACGACATCTAATTGCAACCTACTGGTGGCTGGTAGCAAGTCATTTTCCCTTCCTCCATTACTTCTGCATAGTTTTGAGTACCCCCCTGGGATGAAAATTCGTGGGCATGGCAGTTCGTAAACAGAAAGAAAGAGGTTCAGATAGACTTGCTAGTTCAGATTCTAGTCTGGTTTGAGACAATAGTTCCTCCTTTCAGGGCCCTAGTACCCTGTCTTCTGACTGCTGTCATTTGGCTAGTCTTCCAGTCTCCTCTTTCTTATTTAGAGATGAGTATTCTGCCGCAATGTCAGAGGTTATGGGCAGAATTTCTGACCTTATTGAGGCCATAGACAGCAGGGTCATAACTGCCCCTCAAGCCCCCCCTCCCAACTCAGTCTTTGATTTTGCCCTTAAGCTCGATGTTCCTAAGGAGGTTGACATTGAAGAGGGGAATCCCTCACCCTCTGTGGTATTGGATCGAGAGGACACCCCTACTGCTGAGATTTCACAAGCTAAAGGTAAATATAGCTATTATTATTGACACCATATACTCTTAGGCCCCATTCACACTGAGCGATGTATCGCGCGGTAATCCGTGCGATATCGCAGATATTTACCGCGCGATATCGCTCTCCAATGCATGGCAATGGGGCTCTGTCCGTCGCTGTCGCGGGTCGTGCGTTGCTGCAGCAGGACCCTTTTTGGAGCGGATTTTGCCGCGATTCTAGTTTGCTCAATGCAGCCATTTGCGCGACAAACCGTGCGATATTGCGCAAAATGCAAACCATGCGACAAACGTGCGATTTGTGAATCGCTCAGTGTGACTGGGGCCTTAGCATTAGAGCAGTCTCTCCTCATGTAAAGGTGTCCAGTATGAGGTCACTTACACTTTCTTCTCCCTAGCATTTCACTCGGAAATATCCTGTTAAGGAAAGTTTCCCATATAAGTGGGAACTTCTGGTAGTGGATCCTGCCTTAATAAGACCCGCATGGTCTCCTGTGCAGGACACTCCTATATTTAGATAACATTAGAGATACTCTTTAAATCTCTTTTTGCTGGCAGGACCTGCCATGCAACCCTTGGTTGCATCTATGGCATTCTATCGTCAGCAGAGCTCCCATGCAAGAATCAACTTGAGCAGTTACACATTAAAGGCACATGTTTGGCCCCCACCTTCGATAAGTACCTCAATGAGATCACAGGGGGTAAGCGTACTCTCTCCCAGAACAACAAGGCTTGGGTCTTTACCAGAAGGCTCCTTTGTTCCCTCTCAGTCAATGCCAAGTCTAAAGGTGGCCATACACTCTACAACCATCGCAAGACCTTAGTCTTGCGATGGTTGTAAAGGGATTAAAAAAACTTACGATCTGCCTATCTTGGACAGGCAGATCGCACTCTCGATCATCGCAAGCCCGCCCCCCTGAGGGGCGGGCTTCTGATGACCGCAATGCTGAACGGGCAGTGTGCGCGTGCGCACACCGGCCCGTTCAGCATTTGTCTTCCGAGCACCGTTCTAACCAGCCGAGAATCGTACGATTCCCGGCTGGTTTTCAAACATGCTGGTTCGACGGAAGAC